CAAACATCGAAGCACTTCGATCCTATTCAACAGTAAAAATAGAAATGAAGCTGGACACATGCTCGAAGCAGATTGACGTACCAACTTAAGCCGTTTCCAAATTCATGACAGAAATGTAGACGTTGGGTTTACGTTGACTGAGAGGTTGAGGGATAGTTGCAAACCCTTGTTGAATTTAGCAGGTTTGAGAAATCACCGGTTATGTTCGGTCAGGCACTACCAGCAATGGGATAGATGTCCTGACTTGGATTCGTGAAGTCCTGTAGATTTAACAAAGATATGTCTGTGCAATTGGTCTCCTTTCATTGTTGGACCCTGCGCCCCAGGTATACACATTCTTCTCAGGTTCATCGGTTACACTGGAGTAAGCCTTCCACCACATGATTCAATTTCAACGTAGCCTTCCCAAAGGGCAAGGCCTCCTTGAAGAGAAAGAGCGCTACTTGACCAAACCGGCTATCGGCAAGAAGCACCTGATGCAATTCATTGCTGGAAAATCGACGTGTCAAGTGTTCTAAATGTCCTTTTCCAACGTCAAGGACACAAAGCCCATGTTGCCAAGTGCCTCCTTGATGCCCTCCACGCCCCACTTGCTGAGGGCCTAAAGTTTGCAATGGGAAATTAACACCACATTATACATATACAACACACACTGTCACACACGCACAAAAAATAAAAAATAAAAAATATATATCACGTCGCACCTCATATCCAACAACATACAACTATCGCCCGCAGTCTGTCAAACCTCTGTGATCTCTGGTGTGGTTGTCGTTTTCATTGCCTTGCATCCTGAAAAAGGACATTCAATGATATTCAATGCACCTGTTTCAGCACCGGAATCGTGATGTCTCTCACAAGGTTGCCAGCCTCAAAGCATGTGTCTGTGCGCGCGCGCATGAGAAACACACTACTAGTCACGACACTTTAAAAATACAAAACATCGTTGCGCTTCGTCTGGTAGCGACACCGACCATAAGGCATGATGTCAGTTTCTGTTTTGGGAACTTGACGACAACTCACGATCCAAACACCTTGCCTTGTTGACCACTACTGCATTTTTCTGCAATGAAGATGCGAACAAATTTAACAATCCATATTAATGAGCTATGCGGCGATCTTTGATATATTGTCCCCGCCTTCACAATAGGACCTGGTGGGCGTTTGCCACCTGGCCAAACCTTAGCGTGCACATGACGCATTTGATAATTGCAAACACACTTCTCAAGACAACATATGCCCCAACACAACTTATCTTTGATGAGAAGGCAGGCCAATTTTTTTGTGCGGACCATTTGCATCCTGAAACTGTTCTCGTTTTATTCCAAGACTCGTGCAACACCGGTGGCCTCCATGCCGAAACGGTCAATGTCAAATGTGCGTTGCTGAGGTGATTTCACTACACATGTTTTGCACAGCTGCACAACAAAATCAACACCTGAAAACCAAGTGCAAAATCAGGATCGCATGATTGGTGGATTTTTTCTTGCATATTTCAATCGACATTCCCAGCACATGGAAAAAATGCGTGTGTCCACAGTAGACTATTGTATTTCCAATATGTTTGTTCACAAAACAATCGCAACCAAACAAACTCGGATTGAAAACATGCCCACTTTGGGATCAGCATGAATCATCATGATTTCAAGTCGCTCAAAGAAACCAAGGCCAAGATTGGCATGTCAATCCCAAAATGACGCAACTAAAATGGGTGTCCACGGACTGGCCGCTTGGCTTTCGACAAAAACATGAGCTGAGGAGCAGGATCCATCCCAGGAATCATTCGATGCGGTTGCGGTCTCATGGGGGCCTCAATTAAATCTGTTTGCACAAAAAATTTGAACAACGGCCATGGCGGGATTTACTGATGTTTTGCATTTTCGTTTTTATATTTTTTCGGGGGGCATGCTTCGCTGGGCTCTATACAGATCCCATCATTGGGCCACCATGGTACCTCGCAGACAAGGGGTGATGCCATTTGGCATGATGGATCTTCCGACATCAATTCCGAATCCGACAAAAAACAAACAATCCTACATTGGAGGATCATTGCATCTTTGAATTTTGTTTTCATCAGGTTACAAAAATAAGGAAAAACACAAAACACAGCAACATGCGACAGCCATGTGATCATGTTGCAAGCCAACGCCGATTGTTTTTCAGGAATTTGCACGTGTTGACCTCAGACCATGTGAGACGATGTCCTGCTGAGACTCCATACCCTGCATAGTTGGGGCCTGTCGGGCCGGCATAGCCGGCGCCAGGATAATTGCCGTACATGGCAAGACATGCGGCGATGTGGCAAAGAAAACAAAATAACCTTCGGCTACAAGGCCAATGAACGACAACCGCATTCCTCCATTGTGAGCAGCTACCTTCCGACAAAAACACTGTACCATAGCAACATGTGTCGATGTTTTTGCCAGTTTGTTGAAGCCTTCCTACGCGGACCTATAATCATAAACATAAAATTATATATATTCATTATGTTTGATATTGACATATGATCACATGGTAACTTTAGAATGATGTGATGCCCGGGGTTCGAAAAATTGAAGCAGGGGCTAAAAATTGTCCCGTCAGTTTCTGAAACACGCTCGAAATTTACACAGTATGACACTGAAACATTTCATCACGCATGACGCGTGAACGCGAAGTAAATTATTCGGTTGGTGATGTTTTTGGCCAAGTAAAAAAAATGAACATGGTGTTTCTAACAATTATTGTGTTTTTCCATCGGTGCTGCGAGGTGGAATTTCAGCCGGCATTGTTCAACTTTCAAATCCGTAAGCAGGTCCAAAACACCGCAACTCAATTCCAACATGCGCATGCCAGATTTTGTTGATTCAATGTTAATTACGAAATTGCAGCAACAAGGTCATATCGCAAAACCCCGGGTGGTGTTTTTTTGATGGCCCCCACCATAGACGACCCCCATCACCCCCTCGACCGGATTATAAAGAAAATATTCCAAATGGGTGGCACATAATTATCAAATAATAATCCAGTATGCGGTTCAGTTGGTGGATTATTTTTCCAAGACATGTTATATAACATAAATCTGCAAACAAAGTTTAACCCTAGTTATTCTATATAAACCTTCCAGCAATGAACAATTTCAAACATAAAACACATGTTGGCACCATAGACAAAAAACAGAAACATAGAGATATAAAAAAAACCTGAGAAGGGGGAAACGAAAGCCAGCATCCCATCTATCCCTATGTTCCCCAATATTTTTCGCTCAGAGACTCTTCACCCAGAAACCCTTCTTGCACACACTTTTCACCCATATACTTTTCACCCTGAGACTCTTCACCCAGAGACTCTTATTGCACAGACTTTTCACCCAGAAAATCTTCTTGCACATACTGTTCACCCATAATATACTTTTCACGCAGAAACTCTTCACCCAGAAACCCTTCTTACAAATACTTTTCACCCACATATATTTTCACCCATAGACTCTTCACACAGACACTCTTCTTGCACATACGTTTCACCCATATACTTTTCACCCAGAAAATCTTCACCCAGAAACCCTTCTTGCACATACTTTTCACCCATAGACTCTTCACCAAGAAACTCTTCTTGCACATACTTTTCACCCATATACTTTTCACCCATAGACTTTTCACCCAGAAACTCTTATTACACATACTTTTCACCCATATACTTTTCACCCAGGGACTCTTCACCCAGAAACCCTTCTTGCACATACTTTTCACCCATATACTTTTTCACCCATAGACTCTTCACCAAGAAACTCTTCTTGCACATACTTTTCACCCAAATACTTTTCACCCATAGACTCTTCACCCAGAAACTCTTCTCGCACATACTTTTCACCCATTTACTTTTCACCCAGAGACTCTTCACCCAGAAATTTTCTTGCACAGACTTTTCACCCATATACTTTTCACCCAGAACTCTCCACCCAAAAAATCTTATTACACATACGTTTCACCCATATACTTTTCACCCACAGACTCTTCACCCAGAAACCCTTCTTGCACATACTTTTCACCCATATATTTTTTCACCCAGAGACTCTTCACCCAGAAACTCTTCTTGCACATACTTTTCACCCATATACTTTTCACCCATAGACTCTTCGCCCAGAAACCCTTCTTGCACATATTTTTCACCCATAAACTTGTCACCCACAGATTCTTCACCCAGAGACTGTTCACACAGAATTTTTTCTTGCATAGATTTTTCACCCAGGGACTCTTTACCCAAAAACTCTTCTTGCACGTACTTTTCACCCGTATACTTTTCACCCAGACATTCTTCACCCAAAAACTCTTCTTGCACATACTTTTCACCAGTCCCCCTTTCACCCAGAGACTCTTCACCCAGAAACTCTTTCTTGCACATGTTTTTCACCCATATACTTTTCATCTAGAGACTCTTCACCCAGAAACTCTTCTTGCACATACTTTTCACCCAGAGACTCTTCACCCAGAAACTCTTCTTGCACATACTTTTCACCCATATACTTTTCACCCACAGACTCTTCACCCAGAAACTCTTCTTGCACATACTTTTCACCCATTTACTTTTCACCCACAAAATCTTCGCCCAGAAACTCTTCTTGCACATACTTTTCACCGTTTTCATCCAGAGACTCTTCACCCAGAAACTCTTCTTGCACATACGTTTCACCCATATACTTTTCAACCAGAGACTCTTCACCCAGAAACTTTTCTTGCACATACTTTTCACCCATATTGCAAGCAGGAGCGCGCTTTTCCTTGAACAAACAAGGCCTCAAGATTCACAGAGATATTCTCATGTGTGAAGTGTGAAAAACAAGCACTACTCTTCTCGATTTGTGCGTGTCATTCTTGCAGTGAGTGGCCATGCAAATGTTACCCACTCCTCCTTCAGAGTGTGAGCTTGATTGCGCTCTGACCATTTTGATCTCCCGTAGCTTGTTTGCAGCCATTGTTGCTGCATTCCAAACTTTTCAGAAAGTCTTCCATGAAGCTGCAAAATCAGTCGTCATAGTTTCCTGAGATTGCTGTATATCGATCTGCACTGTCCCAACGTCCTTGGTCTGCGGCCTGGTCAGCCAAATTTGAAAACAGTGAGGAAATTTTGGCACGGCAATTGGGGACCATGCCTTCTGCTGCATCCAGACGCACATCATCCAGAAATCGAAGAATGGTGTTTTGGATTGAATTTGCATCCCAAAACTCACTCCTGTCCAGACATGCATTGTGTTCTCGCTTCAAGAATTCCAGCATTCCTTCCACTGTATGAAATCCAGATCCTGGCTGACCATCTGTTTGAGTTTCTGCATCATCCATGGGTTCGTCATGTGCTGACTCTGCTGATTCATTTGCATCTCCATTTCCAGCTTCATCTGTTTCATCTGCAACTCCAACAGGCGTCACACGCTGCCTGACAAGACGCATGTATTCCACTGAGCCCATTGTACGTGAGCTCACCAAATTGGCTCGTTCCAGCACATTCAGATGGGACCATTGCTCCCTTGAAAGGCCTAAGCCATTACGAAGGAAACCACCATGCTCCACAATTGAATAATGGAGGCCAGTCGTGTAGTCATGCGTCATGCTCAACTCATTGGAAACTTCTGTGATCCTGTCGGAAGCTTCTGCAGCTGAATCATCCATATTTTTCTGAATCTCATTGCATCTGAAGACCAAGCCATCGATTCTTTTGGCCTGTTCAGCCACATACGCATCTTCTTCTGCAACCTGAGTCCAACATGAATAGAGATCCCTGTGAAGCCGCTTCCAAGTGCAATAAGCTGCAATTGCAAAACCAACCCACAACGCAAGTAACACTGCCATGAAAAACCAAACCATCAAAAGTTCATCATTTCCTTCACTTGTTGCTTTGCATGTTTCAACTTCTGCTCCTTCAACGCCAACGGGCTCAAGGCCTTGAATCCCTAGAACCAGGCTCATGCGTTTGACGAACTTGATGAGTTTTCCAACTGCTTCTTTGTTTCTTTGCTGTTCAACAACCATTGCATGCTCCTCCTCACCAACCAACTCCAAAGTTGCAGGGTCCATGGCTCCAATTTCATGAAGCAGGAAGTTCAATCTTCCTCTTGGCAGACACTTTGTTCCGATGTCGCTGAAGTTCATCAACGTTGGCACCTGTCCCATAGAGACATCTCCATCCAAAACGCACTGTTGTATCCAAAGGATCTTTCCAGACAAATGCCTGATCCTTCCAACTCCTTGACGAGCCACCAGCTGCCTAGCAGCACTGTTGTCCGTCCATTGGAAATGTTGGACAGGGGATCCAAAGAGGAATTCAGCGCACCTCTTGATGAAAATTCCATCGCAACATCCAGAAAGCATTGCATGGAGTTCAGATTCTGCCGAGGAGAGGCTAATGACCTTTTGGGTTCTTGAAGAAGCGAAAGCAAAGCATCCGTTCACAAAATGAACTGCACAACTGGTCGACTTTCTGTGGGCTTTGTTTGAAGACCAGTCAGCGTCAGTGAATGTTTCAAGGATCCATTCACTTTCACAACCTTCTTTTCTTTTCCCTTTTCCAAACTCTGGCATTGAAAGCTTCATCCCCATATCACCAGTAAAACGTAGGTATCCCATCAACTTGCGCAAACGTTGGAGGCTGCACAACGTGGGCTTTGACATGCTTGTAGCCAGCTCTTTGACTGTGAACATGATGTCAACTCTGTCCCTCGCAAGGTACAGCAGCAATCCAATGATGCTGCGGTAACATCCACTTTCGTACAGTCCAAGCTCCTTTGACATGTCTTCTTGTTGAATACCAGCATCACATGGGGTCTTTTGAATCCTTGCTGCACCAAAGTATTTCTCGAAACTTCCAAGCACCTTCTCAACTGTTGTTCCTGGAATCACCAAAAGCCCATCTCTTAACCTCACAAAACGGCGCTTCAAGAAAGAAATTTCACTGCCCTCTAAGTCCAACATGTTGTGGCTGATGCTGAACTTCTCTTGCATTGTTGGCAGAAAAACATCTCTCCAGTACCTCGCATTGCCTGTGAAGAGGAGGTCATCAACATGCACCATGAAAACTCCTTCAGCACACTTCCCTATGCAAGGTTGTATGTCACTCCAGGAACACTTGAAAGCATCTGTTGCAAAGTTGCGAAAGAACCAGTACCACGCACGAGCACCAAGTCTTTGGCCTGGAAGATTTCGCAACACCACGTACGAAGTTCCATGAAGTTGTACTTCAACCACATTCTCCTGAGGGACCTGCAAGAAAGCATCCTTTATATCCAGGGAGGCTAGCACCACCCTGTTGTTTTCATCATTGCTCCCACTGGCTTCCAGCTGAGACCACATCTGCAGAAAGAGGATTGGGATGAGGCTGTTTGTGTGGCTACCTGTTGCTGGGCTGTATGTGTCGTGGCGTTTGCTGTTTGCGAATTCACGCGCAACAAACCTGCTGCGTCGCATCCACCTCATGGTTGGAACTCCATCCACATCACAACTTTTGAGACGCCAGTCATACACAAAGCGCGTTGTCAGACTTCCAGTTACCTCTTCATGAAAATCATCACGCTTTTGTAAAACGCCCATGTCAAGCAGCCTGGAAATTTCAACCTGATCAGCCATTTTGTCAATCCATTGTTCTGGTGGTCCTGGAGCCTTGTCTGTCGGGGCATTTGACCAAAGTTCTTCTGGTACTCCACTGAATTGCAAGGAGTCTTCATCCATCCAAACATCATCAACAAGTTCTTCGTTTTCCCAATTGTAGTCGGTGTCATAGCTGTCCATGGTGTAGTACTCATCTGTACCAACCTTCACAGCTCTGATCATTCTCGCATAGGTCTCCTTGACAACTTCAATTCGTTGCTTCTTTGAAGATTCAAGCTTGGCTTTCTTGCTGCTATGATCTTCTTCTTCTGGACCTTCATCGTGAGCTCTGCTTGTTGGAGATGCTCTGGGGCTTGGAGGTATGGCCATAGTGGTCATGGGAGGAGTCTGAGGCTGTTCATTTCCTAGATCTTCTTGAGAAACCATATCTTCAAGAAAACTCATGTCCAACTCCTCCTCACCCGCTGGAGCATCAGCTGCTGAGAAAGGGGCTGCTGAAGAAGAAGCCAAAACCGGCTGTGGTGCAGGTGCTGGATGGTCTTGCTTTTCCATTGACTTCAGCTCTGTCTCTTCCCTGAGCTCCTCCTGAGCTTTCTTTCGCACTGCTTCACCATCTGCATCGTGAAGAGCTGATGGAAGAACTGGGCCAATTGGTGCACGGTCACTTGCAGGCACTGCTTCAACACTGCGCCTTGTAGGGATGATTCTGCTGCCAAAGCCAGTCTTGAAACACCAGGTAGGGGCATTGAAATAGACGTAAAAGCCCATGTGGCTCTTCCAATCTGTTGCAATCCTCCTCACTGACCTTGACAACATCACACCTTTTCCAGTGAAAACCACATAGGTGTCTTGTGATTCTGTTTTCCCCAAAATGATCACTCGTTGCCATTTGGGGTTGCCCTTGTGAGCCGTGTGAACGTAGGAGAAGGCTGGTTCTGCAAACTCAGTCATGCGCCCTTTGTATACTTTGTTGTACACCAACTCATATGGTGTTGCTCCATGAACAACTGCAAAACGGTTCAACAACCATGCCGCATGACGCATTGCCCAACTCCATAGCCCATTGTCAGTACTCAGCTCTGTGGACAGTTTGTCCTGCAACCTGTGCATCAACGTTCCAGCCAAATCCCTGACACGCTGTATTGTGTTCTCACAAAGTGAATTGCCATGGGAGTATGCTGCAGGGTTCTTGTCTCTGGTTGGCAGTCCAAGGGCTTGACGGGCTCGGACTGCAAGCTTTTGCACTTGTCTTGCTGCTGGCTCATTGTCACAAAGATACACGCATTCTCCATGACCAAGCACTTGTGTGAACTGCAACAACTCACGCACCATGACATCTGTTTGTGACTTTGATTTCACTGGCACGCATCCGACATAGTTTGTCACTGAGTCCACCATCACCAAAGCTATGACAGTTTCAGTATTTCTTGCAATACCATCAGGGCCAACTGCCTTCGTGTACGCAAAGTCAAAGCTGACAGTTGGTGTTCCACTGTCCTTCACAGCTCCAGTCCTTTCTTGTCTGTCAGGGCGTGATCTGTGAGCTATGCATGATGGGCACCAATCTGCAAATGGTAAGTGAGTCAGGTTGTGCCTCATCTGCAACTCCTCATCTGGAGGTTCTGCAAGGTGCTGCGGCCTGGGCAAACGTTCCTGAGCAGCTTGGGCCTCTCGAGCAGCTCCCAAAACAATTTGTAACTCCAGCTTCTTCTGGTGTTCAAAAAGCCGTTTGAAACATCTGTCACGTGACCCAGAAGTTGACAAATTGTAGAAAGTGCAGGCATCTCTCATGGTTGCCAAGGCTGTATCCTTGAAAATCTCAACACCATTCACAAGCAAGTGATCTCCACGTTCTGGGGCTATGACCACCTGACCCTGAGGAATGTCGGCACCATGAGCATCTTGTTGCTGCATGTCATCAACATCAATGCCAATGACTTCATCATCTTCTGGTGCTAAGGGTGCTGCAGGTTCAGGCTGTTCACGCTCTCGTCCCAAGCCAGGTTCAGACAGCAATGGCTCTTCACCTTCACTCAACATGTTGAAACCCATCACAAGAGGATGTTGTTCAGTTGAAGTGATGATCGTGATGATATACCTGTCACCAACATATCCATGAAAATCAGCTGCAAGGTCTATCAACGCATCTATGGGCTCACAAAGCTCCAACACAAACCATTGTCCATCGTCCTGAATCAACGTCGTCCTGTATTTGTTGCCAGACATTGTTGGACAAATCACAGTTGGATCCTGAAAGCAACTGCCATAATGTTTGCCATTGCCAACACCCTCAGCATTGAGATTCCAACCAACACGCATGTCTGTGAGGCTCCTTTGAACATCTGCTTTCACTGCACGTATCAACATAGGGCCAAGCGCTTGAGGTTCTTCACGCAAAACCCTGATCCATCCACGCACTGACATGGACCTGTTCTGCATCTCTATTGGGATGCTGATGCCAGAATCATGAACCAGTGTTTGCTCCCTTGAACTGATACCCCAACCATTTTCCATCAAGTGTCCAAAACAGAGAATAGGTTGACTGATGTGACTGCTGAGAGCAACTGATTCTTTCAAAATCACTGAGCGTCCATGTTGGTCCATCAAATGCACCTCGATGTCCTTCATCCCTTCAATGGGAATGCTGTTTCCCTGGGCATCCTGCAAACGGTTTGAAGCCTGTGTTGAGTCAACTCCAAAACCTGACATCGTAGATGGAAAAATTGAAGCATCAGCGCCACTGTCAATCAAGATATTGCACATGTCACTGCCTGTTGGCATGTCTTCCACAATTGCACGCACTGAACCATTTGGTGCATCTCTGGGGTCATCACCAATGTAGAATCTGACAGTGCGCACAGCTCCATCTCTATGGCCAGGACTGCTTGCAGGACTTCTCAAATCGAAAATGACTTCATCATGTTTTTGAACATCCGGGTCAACTGAAACATCTGCAAATTCATGAATTCTTGCAACACGAAACTGGGTCGCTGACGAGGATGGCTGAGCATTCACATGAGGCTGAGAAGCACCACTGACAGGAGAGCCACCAACATATGATGTTGAACTTGGAGATCCCTGAGGCTGTTGTTGTTGGCTCTGTTGTTGAAAATCTCCCTGCATGTGTCTCACCTGTGCCCAGCAATCACGGGCAAAATGCCCTGGCTTTCCGCATTTGTGGCACAAATCTGTTCGAGTACCACCTTTGCCTTTGGAATAGTTGCCATCGCTTTGCTTCCCACCATACTTGCCTTTTGACTCACCTTTCTGTTTGCCTTTTCCACTTGATTTGCCATCTTGTTTTGACTTCGATTTTCCCTTGCTCTTGCCTTTCTGAGATCCCTTCTGAAAAGATCCCTTGCCTTTACCATCTTTTGCGCCTTTCTTCCCACTGCTGTAAACACGGTCCACCTCCATAGGCACTGTAGTTGAAGAGTCATCTCCAAAAATCAAGCCAGACCACTTCTGTTGTCCACGATCCCATCGTAGCACATGCTCTCTGAGGTCCTTGAAGGTCGTGGTGTCTTGAATTGCCAGATTCAGATGTGTACGAAGCTGTCCTGTAACACATCGAAGTAGTATGGCCTGTTGTAACTGGTCAGGCAAAGTTGTCCCTGCTCTGCGAGCTTCTTCCATGGCATCCTCAAGCTTCAAGACCTGAGCCTGTAAGGGTTGATTCATCTGGAAGGTTGGCCAGCTTGTCAACGCCGACATCAGTGCCAAGCCTCTGTTGTTGTTTGCAGGTCTAAGCGCCAAAGTCAACTGCCTGAGGGCCTCGTAGCCGTCTGATGACTTCACGCTACGGACAACATTGAGGCTTCTGTTCCTGCATAGGCTTGCCAACAGTCCATACAACTTCGTTGACCTATGGCGGGTCTCTTGAGAAGCTGTTGATAGGTCCAGGCCATTGCTAGGGTCATCCATGATGGCTTGTAGTTCTTTTTCATACCCTGGGTCTATGGTGTTCAGAAACTGCACCAATTGCCAGGACCAATCACGATAGGCCCTTATCTCATCCTCAGTGGTCTTGTGCTCGAAGAGCGGTGGTTTGTTCAAAAGCTTGGACCAGTCTATGTTGGCAGAAGACCCACTGCTTGGACTGCCAGCTGGAGAAGAACTAGTAGGTGGAGGCGCCTGTTGCACTGACTGGGCAAGTCTCACAGCTGCCTTGGTGGCCTCTGCAACTTCTAAGATCGCCGCCTGGAATATCTGCGGGTCAAAGGTACCTGACATTGTTCCTCTGAATTGTCACCTGGAGCTTTCAAGCCGTTCTCACAAGCCAGAAAATTGTAAATCCACTGGAGCTTTCAAGCTTTTCTCACAAGCCAGAAAATTGTAAATCAACTGCAACCACACGCACCTGAAAATTGTATGCCAACCTGCAAGTTGTATTGACCACGCCAGGAAAATGCTGTATCGAATCCAGCCAAGTCCTGTATAGTATGATCCCAACGTTTGCAGAATGTCCCAAGTCCAAAATTTCAGGTGAAATTACAAATTGATGATTCCTTTTCAACCCAATCCAGTGAACATTGTTGCTACCAGGTCCACACGCAATCCAGTCAGTCAAAAATGGCTATGGCTGCAAAAGCAAACAGTCACGGTCGAGGTGAGTCCTGCAAGCACAGTAGGAAGCCCGTAGGCTCCGCTACCATGCAAGCAGGAGCGCGCTTTTCCTTGAACAAACAAGGCCTCAAGATTCACAGAGATATTCTCATGTGTGAAGTGTGAAAAACAAGCACTACTCTTCTCGATTTGTGCGTGTCATTCTTGCAGTGAGTGGCCATGCAAATGTTACCCACATATACTTTTCAACCAGAGACTCTTCTTACACATACTTTTCACCCATTCACTTTTTACACAGAGACTCTTCACCCAGAAACTCTTCTTGCACATACTTTTCACCAATATACTTTTCACCCAGAGACTCTTCACCGACAAAAAACTCTTATTGCACATACTTTTCACCCATATACTTTTCACTCACAGACTCTTCACCCAGAAACTCATATGTTTCATTGCAAAGGCTGAACGGGAACACTCTCACCTTTTTGTGCCAAAGGGGCCTCACGCAAGTGAAAATCCTGACATGCTATTCATGTCCATGTGAGTTGAACTGCATGACACTAAAAGCACTGTCACGTCTCGTTTTGTGCGTGTCATCCTTGCCATGAGTACAGTGAGCAATTGTTTGTACTCCTCCTCAAAGCTTTGAGCACGGCTTGAAGTCTTTGCCATGCCACTGACTGATTTCCAGAACTTTTCTCTGTGAAATCCATCTCAAAATTTCTTCCAGCTATTCATGTTTCATCCATTTCTCAAAACTCCATGTAAATCATCTATGTAGCGGCGGTATGCCTGTGCTCGATCATCTCTGCCTCTGTTCCTTGACGCTCTATAGAGCCTCTGAAAAATGCTTCTGATGGTGTTGACCACATCAATGCTCATCCCTCTGGGACTTCTTCCACTTGTTGCGTCAAGCACCGTCATCAGTGCACGTTGTATCTGTGCTGCATCATTCCAGAGTTCTGAAGCTAAAGCAGCGTTTTGGTCGTTGCGCAAGGAATCCATGAGGTTTGACATGCCTTCTGTTTCTCCTTGAACTTCTTCATCCTCAGTGGGTGCCTCTTCTTCTCCACCTTCTGGTGGACCTGCTGCATTTTCATCTGTATCTTCTGGTTGATTGCGTTGCATGTTCCACCGTACAAAGTTTGCACGTTCTTGTATGAACATGTGACTGCGCTGCACTGCGCTCAATGTTTCATTCCTGACAAAACCTCCAAATTCCATCAGGCCATACCTGATACAGTCTGTTGCATCATCAAGAACTGTAAGTGCATCACGCGTGTCAGCCTCGTGAGCTGCCAAACGCTCGGCATTCGCATCAACCGTTTCACCAAGAGTTTCAATTGAAGGGGTTATCCATGCTAAACCATCAAGTCTTTCACAAAGCCATGCTGCATATTCATAGTGATCACCAAGCTGTGTTTGAGCATACTCGAGTTCTTTCACCACAGCTTTCCATCTGCGCCACAACGCTGTGAAGACAAGAATCATCACACCAAAAAGCAAACCAAAAGTGATCCATATCCAGAAAATGTTGTAGGAGGCTTTTGACTCCTCCTCGCCACACTGTTGTGCCACAGCCTCTACTGGCCCAAGGCCCATCGCTATGCTCATTCTCAGTATGGTTTTGGCTATCTGCTGTAATTTGCGTTGATTTCCATGTCTTTCGACTTGACGTTGATGTTGTTCTGCCCCAACTCTCTCTCCAGTTGAAATGAAAATGAGACCACACTCATGCATCAGTACCAAGAGTCTTTGTTGTGATAGGCTCTTCGTTCCTATGTCAGCACAATTCCATGCCGTGGGAATCTGTCTCAAAAGGACAAAGCCATCGTTGACTCTTTCTTGAATCCACAATATCTTTCCTGACAAATGTCTCACTTTTCCACACCCCTGTCGGGACGCTAGCTGTCTTGCTGAGCTTGAGTCAGTAAATTGTATGTGCTCCACCTTCTCTCCCAAGATGAATTCTGCACATGCCACAATGAACATACCATCGCAAAGACAACTGACCAAGGAATGTAGTTCACTTTCACAAGATGACAAGGAAATTGTCTTCTGGGTTCGACTTGAGCCGTAGACAAAGGAATTGTTGATGAAGTGAACGCCGCAGGAAGTGCTCCTACGGTGGGATTTATTGGAACTCCAGTCTGCGTCACTGTAGCTCTCCAGGACCCAAGGTTGATTGGTCCCATCCACATTCTTCCCTTGTCCAGGAACTGGTGTAAAAAGTTTCACACCAACATCTCCAACATGTTTCATGTACCCAATCATTTTCCTCAATCGCTGTAGTGATGTCATGGTTGGTGTTGACATACTGGACGCAAGTTCCTTGATTGTAAACATCAAGTCTGGTCTTTCACGACCAATGTAAAGGCCTAAACCAACCACTGATCGAAATGCACTTGCATCACGTGGACTGAGCAGAGGTGAATTGTCCTCAAGTTGAATCTCTGAGCTACATGGAATCTTTTGTGACCTTGCAACTCCAAACTTTTCTTCAAACGCTTTCACCACCTTTTCCACGCTCGTGCCTGGTGTCATCACCAGTCCATCACTTGTTTCTGTGATCTTACGCCTCAGAAAACTGATACTTGAACCAATGCCATCCAGTTGAGAAGAAGACACTGTGAACTTCTCTCCCATCTCCTTGAGAAACGTGTTTTGCCAGTACTTCTTGCGACCAACAAAAAGAATGTCATCCACATGAATGATGATCGTAGATTCTTCATTCCTGGCAAGACAAGGTTGTTCACTGCAAAAACTGTAGTTGAGCTTGGTTGAGAGATACTTGCGCAAATGTTGGAACCATTGCTTTGCTCCCATGCGTTGACCTGGAAGGTTCTTTTGAATCACATAGGGCTGGTTCTGAATGTGAACCAAAATTGGCTCCTCCTGCTCAACTTGAAGAAATGCATCCTTCACGTCCAAACAACCTAGCACTGTTTCGTATTCTGCAGTGTCTGGGAGATCCTTTGCCATCTCCTTCATCCACAAGTACTTCAAGGGGATCAAGTTGGATGTATGAGCTCCTGTGGCCGGGCTAAAGGTATCTAGCCTCTTTTCTGAAGCAAATTCTCGAGCCACATATCGTGAACGACGCATCCAACGTTTGACTGTTTCCCCTTTCTCATTCACAAAGTCTTTCAGTCTCCAGTCCCTGACGAACTTGGTTGTCAAGCGACCTGTCACCTTGCCGTTGAACTCTTCTGCAGGAACTAGCACTCCCATTGCAACCAAACGTTTGACTTCTGTCTCATCTGCTAAATCCTCTACCCACTTCTCAGGCAACTGAGTGGGTAAAACATCAGTTGGAAAATCAGCCCAAAGATGCTTTGAAATTGTTCCCACTTGGACCTCGTTCTCACCGGCCCAAATGTCATCTTCCATTGCACCATCATCTTCCAAATCCAGTTCTGTAGAGTAATCATCCATAGTGAAGTACTCCTTGTATGCAATCTTCACTGCACTGAGCCTTGATTCATATTCCTTCTGGATCCTATTGATTCTCTGACGTTTTGACTCCTCAGTGCGAGCTCTTTTGGAAGCATCATCCTCCTCCAAATCCAAATCACCACTAGGCCTTGCAGAAGCAGCTTGTCGAGGACTGCCTGAATCAATCTCCACGAAGTCGCGTGGTGGGGTCACTGGCACCATAAGACCTGGATCTATTGGCTCCATGTTGGGTGGTGCTACAACTCCTCCTGGGTTGACAATTGAAGTCATCCCAGGGCCATCCCCAATTGGACCAATGGGAATGTGGTCATCAAAGACTGCCGGTTTCACTTCTTGAGCTTTCAGAGTGATGGGGTCATGTTGGCCCATCGCAATCCTCTCAGTTTCAGCAGCTTTCTCTTGTTCTGCATATTGAATCACAGCTTCTGCCTCTTTGTCATAAAGTTTGCTGTCTTCAATGGGTCCAGGTGGCGCATCCAATGCTGCACTCTGTGGGATTGGTCTTTTCATTGTTGGAAGCACTCTTGCTCCAAATCCCGCACGATATTGCCATGAGAAACACTTGCAATGTAAGAAGAATGCCAAATGACTGCGCCAACTTGTTGAGATTCTGCGCACACTGCGTGACAACACAATTGACTGTCCATCAAAAAGCACATAGCTAGATTGTGAATCTGCTTTTCCCAAGAACAACGCTCTCTTCCATTTTGCTGCAGCTTTGCCCTTGTGGGCTGCGTGAATGAAGCCAAAGACTGGCTCCCCAAACTCACACAGTGGGCCTTCAAAGCCACGTCCAACTGCCAGCTCATATGGTGTTGCTCCTTTCAGGACAGAAAATCGAGAAATCAACCATGCAGCGTGTCTCAATGCCCATGTCCAGATTGCATTGCCAGTTGACAGTTGAATACCAAGCTTCCCATGCAATTGATGCATCAAAGAACATGCCAACTGTCGTACCCTTGCAATTCCATTCTCAGCAAGGCTGTTGCCATGGTCATATGCAACTGAGCTACTCATAGTAGTCTTCAGACCCATGCTCTGACGTGTCTTTGTTGCAAGACGCTGGAGCTGAAGAATTGACGGTTCATTGTCACAACGCAAAATCACTTCACTGTAACCCAATCTCTGAATGAATTGAATCAATTCCCTGTTCATGTGATCCAGTTGACTCTTCGCCTGAAGTGGCACACACGCAATGAAACCTGTATGGCTATCCACAATAATGAGAGAAAGCACTGCATCTGGAGATTCCTGATCAGTGACATCATTGCCATCCACCTTGGTGTAGAAATAGTCGAAACTAATTGTTGGAATGGCTCCTTCATGTGAAATGCCAGTGGTTTCATGACGATCAGGACGTGCTCGATGTGAAATGCAACTTGCACACCAATTTGCATATGGAATGTGAGTGAGCCTGTGTTTGGCCTGTTCTGCCTCATCAGGTGGCTCTGCAGTAGGCGGTGCCCTTGGTTGTCGTTCCATCTGTTCTTGGGCGTCCTTTGCAGCTGCCATCACCATGGTCAATTCCAGTTTCTTCTGATGATCTAAAATCCTCTGAAAACACTTCTGCTTTGACCCTGAAGTTGACAAATTGTAAAAGCCACATGCTGCACGCAACGCTGAAAGAGCACTAGTCACTCTCAACTTGGTTCCATTGACATCAATCTCATCTTCAGCGCTTGGGTGCGCAACAATTTGGCCTTCTGGAACATCACGGCCTTGTTGCTCCATGAAATCACCTGGAATGTCCATGTCCTCATCATCGTCCTGAACTGCCAATTCACCTTCAGGTCCAACAGGAAAATTTTGCACCTGTTCATCAACCAACGTGAATCCCATGACCATTGGATCCTTTTCACCATCTGTCAGAATTGTAATGATGTTGCGTTTCCCTGCAAGTCCATAGAATTCTGCATCCAACTGAATCAGTCCATCCAAACGTTCACACAACTCTACCACCTGCCATTTCTTGTCATCATCTTCAACCAAAGTTGTGCGGCAGTACCTACCTGGAAGATCTGGTTTCACCAGGGTCGGGTCTTGGAATTTCTCAGCAAAGTGCCGTCCAATTCCACGTCCAAATTCATCTAAGCTCCAACCAACGTTTCCTTCAACAACGTGCTGCATGACATCTGCTTGAATGGCTCTGACATGTACATCATGCTTGTCATGAACTTCTTCATGCAAAACTCTGATTGTACCCTGAACCACAAGTGATCTGTTTTGAAGTTCAACTGGGATGTGGGCGCCAAGACTGTGAGTAAGCGCCTGTTCACGGCCATCAATCGACCATCCTCCTTCGAGAAGATGTCCAAAACTGATGATTGGTTGAGATACCCTGCTTGACAGAGCTACTCTTTCTCTCAAACAAATTGTCTTCCCAGTGATGTCCTTCAACCTCACTTCCATGTCACGTACAGATTCTATTGGTATTTCTGAGCCCTGCGCGTCCATCAGTTTCCCAGCAACACCTGGAACTGCATATCCCCTGTCAAGAAGGCTAAGAGGAAAGATCGAAGCATCAGCGCCGCTATCAATCAAGATTGAATGCAATTCCTCGCCAACATCATCAATTTCCTCCACAACTGCTCGAACAAAACCGTTACACAAGCACTCATCTGCATCACCAATGAAGAAATGAACTGCATGAACACTACCATGGAAACTTGAAGGGCTGGAATCTCGTAAATCAAAAATCAGTTCATCATGCTTTGCATCATCACTGACTTCACAAATACGTGCAATTCTCGACTGCGTGGTCTGAGAGCTTGGCTGCGTTGATCCCTGCTGTTGCACATGTTGTGACACACTAGACATGCCACTCACAGAAGAACCTGGTGAGCCATGAGCAGTAGTTGCGGTCTGCTGCATGTCTGAGCTCACATTGCGTACCTGGGATTGCCAGCATTCACGAGCAAAATGCCCTGTGCGACCACATATGTAACACTTGTTCCCTTCTCCTTTTCCTTTCCCTTTGGATCTATCACCAGCATTGCCGTTTCCTTTCTGGTCGTTCTTTGACTTTCCCTTGGAGTCATTCTTGCCCTTTGGTTTTCCTTTTGACTTTCCTTTTCCATATCCCTTGTCTTTTGACTTGCTTTTGCCACCGCTCTTGCCTTTTCCTTTTCCTTCAATCCTGTCAATTT